TTTATTTTTATGTTTAGACTCGACCAGCGTCCGAGGAAACCGAAAATGTCCGAGCCATCGCCCAGCGAGACGACCAGAGCAAGCAGAAAGCCCCACCATGATTTACGATGATGATGTGTCCTGGAACGCGCGCGCATCTCCACCGAAGGACTCTCCACTACACAGCAGCCGTAGCTGCAAGATGTCCTGCCCCCAAGGGCCTCCCTTCTCCTTTATCCCTTATCCATGGCTGCGGCAGCTTTACATATTTGGGCACAAGGAATTCCGCCAGCTGAACCTCTGGAATGCATTCGTTTGTTAGGATTTCGAATTCGGCCCTTTGGAGTTCACCAACTTGGAGCTCCGCTCTCCATCTAACTGCTGTCCCAAAAGCGGAGGGCGTCAAAAATTATTTAAGGGAATCAAGGATTTTCTTCTTTATTATATAAACTATTATATATTATATTATGAAACTCCAGTTTGGGGAGAACGTTGTTTAGAAATATAGTTACCTATGATATGATCTTTAGAATATCGACTTTAAAAATTTCTGAAAAGTTTGGATGTTCTTTAGAAATATATTTGAAAGTGTTAAATTGTTTTTATCAAACAAATAATTGCGCGAAAATATTATCATTTATTTTGACATAAAATTATATCACAATATCAAGGAATTTCTTTTAGGTTAGAGGAATGCACCTTGATCGTCCTCAATGATTTCTCAGCTTAATTTGTTTTTAAAGGCGCTTTAAGCTAATTTAAATTTATAATTAAATCTTATTCCAGTAGAGAGGTTTCTGACCTAAAAAAGGTTAATTAGAGGATCACATTTTAGAAGTTTGTTGCAGGAAAGTAAGTCTCTGGCCAGTTATCCTTAATTACTGAAAATCAACTAAACTTAAGGTAATAAGAAACCACTTTAAAAGTTATTATTTCGAAATAACATAGTATGTTTCTATTAGACTAACTTGCATTAAAATAACTCCCAGGATGAAAACTGTTTTTGTTACATTCCCAGACAGATTTTACCAAACAGTGAGATAGTTTGGGGTAGTGACTAGTAATGGGTATAAAAGGTAATTTAATTAAATTTATCAAATCCTCAACATCAGAATCGCCTAAAATGTTCCACATTTGGTTAATATTTCGCACAGTAATTGATTCAACTTGCAACCTGAAAAATAAAACAGAATCCATCCAAGAGTGCGGACAATGGTGGGACTCTCATAATTGTGATTACTTTTTGCTGTGACATTTTTGGCAAATGCAGTTTTGGTCCTGTTTTGGTCTCTCCGGTTTTTGCACTTGCCACTGCTGTTAATAAAAATTTACGATTATTGTTTTCACATTTTTCATGTTTGTCAATATTAAAAACATTATTTTTCACGCGAATTGGCGTCAATGGATGGACACGCATGCGATACGATCCCCGCTCGACAGACGAAGGATGTGTCTCCGAAATTTTATTGAAATTCGCTGATGGAATCCCGGGCGAAAAAAGGCGGAAAAACACGAGAAAAACACTCGAATTGCAGTGGAAAATCGCATTCAATCGGTCGCCAGCAGCATACACCACTCATAACTCAGCTCGGTGCGGCGCCAGGACATAACCGAACAGAGCCAGGGACACCGACATGGACACAAATCCATTGGACGATGGGCATCGACGTTGGCATGCCCATTGTTGTGGCACTGGAGGATTCGGGACAATTGTCAGGCAATAAATCGATGTGTGTAGGGCTGTAAATTTTTGGCGGATGGCCGATGAAAAAGTGCATATTATGCAATTCGACAATACGCCAAACATGTCGACCTACGCACAACCACCCACCCTCACCCCTCCACCCATCCACCCACATCCACCCACTCGACCCCTTGGCAATGCAGCGGAAACGGAAACGCGCACACAAGTTCTTCTCTTCTCTCTTCTTCATCTTCGGCCTGCAACAGCGCTTTGCATATCAATGAAAATGCATAAATTTTTATTCGCCCTCAATTTCGCTCGCGTTTTTTCCTTCTGCCCAGTGCCTGTTCGGCTGCACTCGCTGCATCCTTGCCCATCTCCCATTGCCCAATCCTGTCGTCCATCAAGAGGCATAAATCAGTTTGGAGGTAGCGGCCTAGAGCAGCGAAAAAAAAAAGATTTACCAACACGCGTAGCACTGCTCCGGAAGCTTCTGAAAAAATTGGAGCCCCATACCCGGCAGATCGGTTCTTCGGTGACGAAACGTAATCCTTGTCGAAAAACTGCACCAAAGCAAAAACACTGAAAATCCATAAAAATGCATCATAATTTCCTGGACACTCGTGCAACTGGAACTGGATCACCATCGGCAGCATCATCATCATTGTGTGCAGCATCCGAATGGCCAGCAGAGCCATAGTGGACGCCAGATAAAAGGGTCGTGTCAGCCTAACAAGTCGCTCAGCGCATTGTGAAAAAATGCACAGTAGGGTTACCCAATTAAAAGGTTAGAAAATTCTGGGTAAAAGGATAGATGTTAGGAAGTCAAGGGGTTTGCTGAAATACTAACTGATTTATTAGGAAAGCCATGAGTTTGAGTTAAGAAAACTTACAACCAAAAAGTTACTTATTTTCATTCACATTTTTAAAATATTCAATCATAAAATATTATCATTTACCAATATCTACTTGATGAAAATAATTCGAATTTCGAAAACCAAAAGAATCAAGTCAAGGAAGAAAGCAATCTGTTGTTAGAGGCTAGTGTTCCTGATTAGTTTATAAGGCCCATTTAAGTTTCTAATAGCACCCTGACTGACCCTGCCCAGCATCATTTACATGCAACATGCCCCACTCTCGCTGCTTTATAAGCCCTGTCGCTGGCTGCACAGAATGGGCCCGTCAAAGTCAACGGCATGACCAATCGGGTGAAGGGAGTGCAGCCCGCCTGCCGCAATGCGTTAATAGATTTGCAGTGGCTCCGTACCTGGAGTAGCCCCCGAACCACCCAATCCGATTGCATATAATCACAGGATACTCGGTCATTTCGGTGGTGGCCCTTTGTTGTTCTTTTACTTGGCCAAAGAGCGGCCGTAAATTTTACTTCATTCATGCAGACACTCCTCCTAACACCCACAAAGGGACAACGGAGCGGACAGCGAGCCCTTGCACCAGTTTGAGTGCATTCGATGCGATACGTTGGCGGCCTGTCCACATGTCATCCTTGCATTTATTTATTGAATTATGACTTCTGAGCCCGCCAAAAAGGTAAAAACCGAGATGAAAAGCGAGGATTGTAAATGAAAAACTGCGAGAAATGATGGAGGATTGGATGAGGTTCGGTGCTTTTCATTGAAATGTGAAAGAATTATGAACCTTTAAGCTTTTTCCTATTACCAATTACTGAATCTTATTGAAAGGAAAACTATATTTTAAGAACATTTATGTATAGATTAACAGACAAAGCAAAAAGTAAGGAAAAGTTTCTATTTAAAACTTCGCGGGCTTAATATTTCAAGGTGGTTCTTTCTTCTCGAGTTGGCAGGACTGTTAATGACAGCTGTCATTACTACACTATACAGTACACTATTACAGTACTATATTTAAGCGTGTATTTATGTCTGATGTATGGTGTATGTATGGATATGTCAGCCATCAAATTTTGTTTGCAGAATGTAATTTCTCCTGCGCAGACGTTGAGGATGTTGCGGATGGACATTGGTGATTCTGATCCGAAAATCAGGAGGATCTGTGAAAACCATTTTGAAAGACCATTCGGGCCTACGAAAAGTCAAATCTCGTTGGGTACCATAAACGGCTTACACTATGCACTCGTCCCCATTCTTCAAAAAATTATTCGCTCCCAAACAGGCACAGTGTAACTTCTAAATATTTAAAAAAGACAAGATGTCTCTTCATAGAACTCGTTTCGAGTCGATGAAGGCGCTGCTGGTTATACCGAAAAGAGACTATTTGGCCTGTTTCAAGTGAATTTTATCGGGTGTGGATTACTTTAAAGGAAATAAATTTGATTTATAAAAATATTATCCTTACTTTTTGCCCACAACAGTCAATGTTACAATGGCTTCATGGTTTTTCCTAATAGCAAAAGTGAATCCAAAAATCTTATCAAAATCTTTCCCCATTTGTATCTGAATTCGCCCCACGCGTTGTATGTCTTTGCGTCTCGCAGAATCAACACGGCGGGCAGGTGAAAGAACAGCAGCTGGATTTTTGAGATTTTCCACAATTGACAAATATTTGAGCTTGGCAAACGTCGGCGCTGTCTTTTAATTGTTTCTAATTTCTAATGTTGACTTGGCGGCTCTAGAGGTGGCCGGCACCCAAGACATCTGTCCTAGGAAGCCGCTTCTAGGTTGCCGCCGACATCCAGCGCTATCATCTGTTGACACACACCCACATGTGGAGGATGCGGCGATCCAGTTTAGCGGAATCATTTCCCACTGTTGACTTTGGGTGCTGCTCACGCTTCATATTTCTGAGCGGAGATCAACATTTTAATTAACTAGAAAATGGGAGCAGAGATTGGGATCTTTAAAGACGCCGCCGGTTAAGAACTAACCGTTTTTTGGTTCAAAGTGATTTGGCTGCAAAGTTTGTTTAAAGAATATCTTAGGGATGGGATTAGTTTGCTTTGGGATTTCTTTGTAATTAACTTTTGATACTTATAAATGTGTTCTATTGTTTGAGATACATTACTGTTTAAGGTGTCCAAAGGCAATCCCTTTCATCTTCCGCGCTTTAGAAAGTGTGTAAAGACTCTTCAGAGGTGTTTCTTCTCAAATTATTATAAATATAATAAATCCAACCTTTTTTATATCCCACTTAACCTTAAAAGCTTGTAAAAATTTATAATTTTGGCTATTATTATCCACTTGAAAAGCCTGTCATTATAAGTGACCCGTCACTAGAATCAGTTCCTAAAATGGTTTAACTAGCTTCACGTTCAGGTCACTGAATTTAAGCAAAAACAAACAAAAATCTACCAAAAATATGTTAGTAAAGTGAACTTCGAACGGCTTTGGGCCAACTCACGCAGTTCGTCTCGATTCGATGGCCAGATAAGATCTCAAAATCGATCTATAGCCAAGCTCTGTTGGTCATAACCCATAGAACCATCAGTGTCAGTTCGGCCGTCGAGTTAGTAGCTACAAGTAACAAGTTACGTCATGGATCACTCCCGCATTCTGAGAGCCACAAATGTAGTGCTTTTACTCACGGGTTACCAGATGCATTGGTTCGAGAAGAAGACGCAGCGGTTCCGGTTGTCCTTGCCCGGAGTAGTCTTTATATTCGTCCTCGGTTGCATCTATGCCGCGTGCTTTGCCCAACACTTTGACTCCTCGTCATCTCTCCTGAAAGTTCTGAGAGATGTGTCACCATTTCTGTTCGGACTGACCAGGATGCAGCTCTTGTTGGGAGCAAAAGTACTCGCCTATGCGGTCTACTGTACGGTCAAGTCAGTGGGAGCTGTGAACTCACTGGTGGAATCTCTAACAAGCAGGGATTCCGGTCTGAAAAAAGATGAGGTCATAGCCTACGTGTTGCTGGGTTCAACCTTTGCTATACTTTTCGGCTTTGTGCTTTACATATCCTTTGAAATGAAATTCGAGCTGCCCCCGTTGCAAGATGCCATGGTCGGAATGGCTCTGTTTCTGCCTCATCTGATTCTTGCTGGATCCATGAGGTTGTTCATAGTTCTGGCTTGGCTGAGTCGCGGACAATTGAAGCAGCTAAAGAAAAATGCTGAGGAGGAGTTAAGTGCCCATTTGAGCAAAGATGAGGACAATATCGCTTCCACGTCCTTCACTATTTCCACGAAAAGCTCAAGCGTGGAATCTTTGGAAAACCTGAAGAGAAAACTGGAGGTTCTTGGAACCAATTTTGGCTGTTTCACCCAGTCATTGCAACACTCTTTGATATTCCTGTTTGCCTTGAATGGAAACTGTCTTCTGGGAGGAATTTATTCGTTAACTTACTACTGGAACACTTGGCACGTCATCTTCGAGGAACGCAAGCGAAGGATCTTCTACGCGGCCAATGCATCCATTTATGCCTGCATTGCCAGTGACTACGTCTGCCTGATGTGGGTTCTTTTTACGATGGAGAAGGAGGTAAAGTACCATATACGATATATTATTAAAATATCTAAAAACGTAATGCCTTCTGTCCACAGCGGTTGAACTTTATTAAGTGCTTAGATTACTTTCTGGCCCAGAGGAGTTCACTAGCGAAGAAGATGCGACCTCTTACGAAAGATATCAAGAGCGTTCTCAAAAGAACTTTCTACTTCAAGTTCCACTCCCTCATCAGGTTCGATCTCTGTTACGTGGTTTTGGTAAGTTTTTCCTATTGATCAAGGAAACATTCCTTAAAGGATATTTTACAGATGGTATCCGCTCAACTGCTGATAATTTCCTTAGTCGTGATTTTCCACTATCTGAACGATGAAATTCTGCTGCTGAGAGAAGAGTTGGACAGCAAGAACGAGGAATAACTTTAGATAATATTTACTTGCTGTGGTCTCCATGTTTCGCAACCAATGATGTGCTGTGTATATCTTCCGGCTCTCCTCCGTCCGCTCTGCCTCCCCGGTAACAACTTCATATTAATTACCATCATATGCAAACTTCATCCATAAATTTATCCGTTTGCCAGAGCCAAACAGAACGGAGCAACAAATCACGATTAAGTTGCTAATAAAATGGTGCCCCAATCAAAGTAAAATGAGTGCGTTTTCTCCAGAGATGAACTAACTCCTTGAGAATATTGATTTTGGAATAAGTTTTAAAACCAATTTTAAGGAACCTTGAACAAATTTCTGATTTAGAAGACTTTTTGTGCAAAATTAACCAAGCTATCTCAACATATTTACTTCGAAATTCTTAAACCTAATAAACATTTACTTATGTTATAGAAAACTCTAAAAACATATATAATTCTTACTTGAAAAACACCCATCTCAAATGTGTTCTGAAAGATACCACACTGTGGACAATTTTCCTCACTGGTTTTTCATAAACTTTTCGCCCAAGCAGAGTCTTCCACTGTGGGATAACAACACGCAGAATGGCGGCAAATGAACATAATTCGTGTTAGGAAATCTACATAATATTTACTGTGATGCCAACACCCACCCATCTGAACATCCAACCATCCTCCCACTCACATCCTGGGCGGTGCACAGGCCATGGCCATGCATGCAAGTCTGTGGAGATGCTGATGAGCAGATAAATTCATTAGGCAAACCCATGTAATTGTTCCACCAGGGCGACGACGATGCTTGGGACAGATGGAGGGTGGGGCACCAGGATGCGGCGGACATTTGGCTCAGCTGGCGGAGCAGGCGGCAACGGCAAGCCAGACGACCGCAGATCTTAAGTTTTACCCCGGAGGATGGAGTTGGGAAGTCACGTAGTCGGAGTTGCCAGGCGAAGCGTTACTAAATACAAATTAAACAAATCCATAAATAATGTTTAATAATATTAACAAGGATATTAGCAGGGACTACAAACATATACGCACACTCCCCCAACTTGGGAGCTGCAGATGCGCTCACTTACTGCATCCAGTCGTAGTTGTTGCTGCTCCTGGAGCCCAGACTCCCAGACTCCAACTGCATTCCTTTGGGCGTGGTCGTTGTGGTTTATGGACATGTCGCCTCTGCCACCTGGCTGTTTGCCTGCTCAGAAAATGGGTACATGGATGTTTACACGGCACAGGAATTTATCAATCCTATTTAGCTTATAAGCTGCGGCTGTAGGGTCTCTGATTTAGACTTGATTCAAGTCAACTTGATAGTAGAAACATTCTTATAGTTGGTAAATAAGTTTTAGGAGTTTGATATAAAACTTCTACATTTAACGTTAATATCATAAACTTGAGTTTATTAGAGAGCCTTATTTGAAGTGATTATGATTAAAAAGCCTTCCTTCGCTGCCTCTTCTTCTCAGCGATTTGCTCCTCCACTCGTAGGATTTTCATCAGCAAGTACTTCTGTCGAGATCTTATCCTTTTGTAGGAACTATCCAAGGGGCTTCTGCACTTCTTGGGGGCACTGGGAATAACTTGCAACCGATTTTGAGCCGGAGTACATGAGGAAAACCGCTTTCGAGAGTTTGATCGACGTCTTGGAGTACAATTTTCTGAATAATTCGAAGATTTTAGTGTGCGCGAGAAATGCTTTTCCTCATTTCTTGATGGATATTTTTCCAATGTTCTGAATGACCGTGAGCTGGGTTTCCTACGTCGCCTGTTTCTGGTATCTGATTCAGATGAAGACAAGAACTCCTCCGAGCTTTCGGTGGTTGATTTATAGCTAGACGAATCAGAGGAGTCACTAAAATCGGGACTAGTGCTGTCTCTGAAACGTTTCGGTTCAGGACGTACGACGGTGGAACAGATAGTCGGACCGCGTGGCGGACCTCTTTTGTTTCTGTAAGAGGACCTTGGAGGGCTTGGAGAACGATGCCGTTTAATGGAGCACTTGCACGGCTTTGAAGGCGCTTCTGTTGCCCGATTAGCCGAACGTATATGCTTGGTGTACCTGGGCGTCCTTAAGGGAGGAGAGCTCAAGGGTGACTCCTGCATAGTCGTAGAGGGTGAACTACTGCTTAGGCGACTCTCCCACATTATGGGCTTTGGTTTCGAGGAAGTCGGAAGCTTCTGCGCTGAACGGTGTTCCGAACGCGACTTCGGATACTTCTGCGCCATCAAGAGTTCTCTGAATGTGGGTGTGGGCAGCAGAGGACTGCGATCCTGCACCTCTGTCTGGTTCGGCGAGTAATAGGGATCGTTGTCCATGTCGTTCAAGCCCGGGCTGCGTGGCTTCCGCCTCAGTTTTTCCCCTAGTGTCATTTCGAAGGCGTGGCCACTGGGTACGATATACGCTGGCCAAGCTAGTTCTTTAGTTTAAAATTGATTAATAAATTAATATTTGGATCAATTTTCTTATAATCAATATGTTTTTATCGGACTCACCTGTTGAGACCAAAATCTTATTTTGAAGCATAACATTTTTGCCCTTGTTGGTCGCCTTTGGATGACGGAAGCGACACATTTTGCCCCAGTGGCAGGTGTTAGTGACGTGAAAACGACAGATTGGCGTGTCACTATCCTCTTCTTCGGTCACATTCCTTGGGACTTCCACATCATCGCCGGATACTTCACCATCTTCCAGATCATCAAATCGAAGACGATCTCGACGCTCTTCCAAAGTTGAGTCCTCGCTTAACTCACCGGGCTCGAGCATATTGCTCCTTTCGATATCCTCTAAGGTACCTTTTCCTTTATAAATTATATTCCTAACCTGGCATAACGACTTTTCTTGCGGCATATCGTTTGGTGCATCATCTTCGTCAGATAGTTCGCCATATTCCACATCTGACGGTTGATTGCTAGTTTCGGATAACTCCCCAGATTCTAATGTGTCATTGTGTTTCCCTTTGGCTGAGGTCTTTTTAAGACCATTGGGACTGCTTTTGGTGTCCCCACTATTTTGTCCTTGACAGTTCATCGCATCCTTGCTCTTTTTGAAAGCCTTTGAATCTAAGGCGTTGTTAGCAGAACAGTCAATGTCTTCCAATGTGGTATTTTTAGATAGTTTTCCAGATTCCAAAAGTGTGTTCGATTCATTCTTCTGAAATTTCTGGTTACGTTTATCTTTACCAACAGTTTCCGTTAATTCTTTGGGGTTTCCTTTATTAGCTGGATAATTAAACGGATCTCTTTCGACATTTCCCAAATCTGAGGTCTTATCTTTAAAGCTATTTACCTTGGAGTCCAGCAATATATCGCCATCGATCCCCTTATCATCAATTGACTTAAGCCCTTCAGTGTTTTTAGTAGGATTTCCCGAACTTTTTATGTAACTATTTTCCCTAATAGAGTCTGAATTGCTGAATTCAGAAGCATCTACTAGAAATGCGGGAACCATGTTCTCTGGGTTACTCATAGTGGAGCAAAATAATTCAGCTAGATCGGCGTTTCTTTCTAGAGTAGCATCCCAATTTTCTGACTGGGAAGTTCCAGGACTTTTGATCGGATCGGCACTGGGATGTGCCTTGGCATTTACAGATAATTTTGAACTTTTTTTAGTTGTGATATCGAAAGTAGCATTTAATTTAATAAAAGAGGAAGTGTCAACTTTAGATTCTGATATGTCTTCTTTCCCTGAACAAACGGTCGATTCTTCTAAGAATTTTAAGTTAGGAAGGTTTTTGGGAAAAAACTTAGGGCTTACCAAAATCCGTAAGGCCATGGAGCGTATAGTCAAAAGGTTTGTATACAAAACTGGTTCGAGAGGAAGGAGTTTCTGAGACTTTGTTTGCCACTCTTAATAAAAGTTATAAGATTAGTAAAGGCTTCACGAAAATTAAAATAAACAAACCTCGTCTTGTTGGCGCTCTTATATGAGGTAATTGAGGGTGGATCATCTGGAAACAAAGAGAATTAATATAAGTTTATTAGAAATTTGAATATGTACTTTCTTACTTTCTTTAGATTCTTCGTTGGTTGACGAGTTATTTATATTCGATAGGGCGTTAGTAAATCCCTCTAATGAAACTTGCCTGGGAACGACAGTTGATGTTGCAGCGTCTGTTGATACAAAGGTATACCCCTTTTATTAATTCCGTTCACCTTAGTTATATATCTTACTGATACCTGCATTCCCATGGCGACTTTTGTAGAGTTCTTCTTTTCCATTTCCTTCATCCATCTGTGAATGTTGAAAGACAATTGTATCTGGATTGGTGTAAGGAGGCACCAACTTGTTGTTTCCAGGATCTGCTGGCATTCTACCTCAGCGTCTATTTTTAAGCAGCACAAACAACTTTACAGAGAATTTACATACCAAGAAATTAACTTACCTTAAAACTGTAATTTTAGATTCACGTTCCTCAGATTCAGGTCCTCTTTGAGCTGATCAACTCAGTAATACACATTTAATTTAATAATATTCTTTTTCATTCGCAAAATGATACAACGGGCACAATATTTTTTTGCCATCAAAGCTTGCTAGCTCTGCCAGAGTTGCCAGAGTTGCAGAGTTACCACGCTTCAAAATTGTAGTAAAAATAATGGAAATTAAGGATGGGAATACTATTGAGGTATAGTATAGTAAACCTGATAGTATATTAGAGATATTGCATACACCTTTTAAATTAAAAATATATAAATATACAATAAGTAAAATTTATAAAATAAATTAAAATATCTAGAAAAACCCAAAGATATAGATTATAAGGTATGTATTTTTATCTTAATAGGGGTATTCATAAAAAATAACGACCAACGAAAAATAATCTTGACTTAATTAATTTCTATTGAAACATTTAAGGTTTTTTAACAGAGTTTGCTATTAACTTTATTACAAGAGACTAACAGACTGGTCTAATACGACCCTTGGCATAATTGTATAAATCTTGCCCTGCAAAACTCAGTTCATCTATATGCTAATAATGTCAAATCAAACATCGGTGGGGTGAACTAAAAGCGAGAACACCCTTTGTACATTCAAATGAGTATTGAAATGCAGGTTGGCCGGGATAAAAATTAGACACAGACAATTCCCTCAGCCCCTAGCCAACAGCCGGGAGCAACAGCATCAATTTCCACAAAATTGCGCCACTAAATTACCATAACGGTTGGGCAACCTGCACACCATGCCCACCCTAAAGAACACCCAAAACTAACGGAAACATATTAGGGCAACTCCAGAATCCTAACAAAGGCGACAAGTGAGAGACGAGAAGCAGACGAGTCGAGAGACAAATGCCGAGGCCGCAAACAAAGAAAACGGCGCGAAAAACGCAAACATCAGCGCAATGCGGCAATGGAGAATGGAGTTACCTGGTGGCAGGTGAGTGGGGCGGGGCTGGGCTCAAGTGGGCGGGGATGTCCCACAGGACTTGTAAATAGCAACATGGCAAACAAGTTAAAAAGTTTTCCTCTTGTTCTTTGGCATTTCTTTATGCCCGGGTCGCGGCCCAAACATAATCGTTTCTCATTTCAATGCTGGCGGAGTCTTCTTCCTGGGCGCCACTCCCGTCCGCTCGAAATACACTAAAAGAATTTTGAACTGATAGAGGTAAACCACTCTTTGATTCGAAATCTTTCAAAATATTAACATTATTAATATTAAACAAACAGGCTTTTCAACTTTATGCATAACAAAGACATACATTTTACCCCATTTCGAAATTAAAAGTTATGATTTTTCCAAGTGCACTCATTGCCTCCTGGTTACACTTGCTCACCTTTCCCTCGGCCCTGGTCCGCAATTTAGTTTTGAGCGTAATTTCTTTTAATAGCGCCAGCCGACAGATAAAATTCCGCTGAAGTAGAGACCCGAACCCCACGAAGATGTCGCGCGTCCTGACACTGACATTGTAGTCTTCTCGTCCAACTCCATCGCGGGTCAAAGGGGCGTCCCCTTTGCTGGCGGATATCGCAAGTAAATTGCTTAATTTTGGCCATGTCTCGAGCTCTGGGGTTAGGCGTCTCTTCGGTTTGTTTTATTGGAGGTAAGGTCGTTTTTGGAGGGGGGAAAGGGCCCCTAAGGCCGCTCAGGCCGTTCAGGTTGACGTTTTCTGGGCCATGACGATTTCATTTGCATTTTATGATAATTGAACTTCATAAATATGTCACGGCAGCATCTTAAAAGTGCCAGAGGTAAGCACCCACACACACACTCACAGCGGAGCCAAACATCCGGTTCCTTTTCCGGTGCAGGACTCCTCCCATTCCGGGCGCCATGTGCTTCATAATTATTTTGAAGTGTCGCCATTAATTTGAAATACTTATGGTCGTGTGGGGCCGGACCATAAACTGCTGAGCAAAAGTGGATAACGACGGTTGCAATTTAAATATGTTAAATACATTTTATGTACAGGGTAAGACAGGGTCGTTAGGATGTGGATACTTTGTGGTGATGATGAGGAGGAGGTAATTCACTACTAGGGTAAGTACTTTCACTTTGCAAAGTATTTATCTTAAAAATGATTCTATATTTGAAGTCTAAAATTTCATCTAACTTAGCTTTTTTCGTTTAATAGGACTAATTTGGAATAAACCCCAAAGCCAAGTTGACATAAAGTACATAAACATCCTGTGAATCTCCACCAAGGAGTCAGAGCCAACTGAGATTCCTGCCCAATAACTCACCTAGTCAGCAAGTTGGCTTATTCACCCTTTCAGAGCTCGAAGAAAAAATGAACATTTAACGCCTCATTAGAATCAGGACATCCAACCATCCAACAAGCCGACGACGACGTCGACGCATCCATCTCCGGGTTGGGAAGACGACCACACAACTACCCAACAACACACTGAACAAGTCAACAACAGGACGGAGGCGATGAATAAACTCCGGCATAAACAGGATATATGGCCGCAAAATCCCAGCAGCGCCTTGCAGCAGCGGCAATGAATATTAATGAGATGTCATCAGTCTTTCGTCAAATTAAAACGCACAGCGCCAGCGGGCCAGAACGGTGAGCTGGGATAGGATACATCTCAGGATGGAGATGGCGATGGAGACGGAGTCCTGACAGGAGCAGACACATCTTGTGGGGTGTTGTGCGCGCACATCCTGCGGTAACTTTTCTAATTGTTGGCAACACAACGCGAATAAATCAGCAGGAACTAGCTGAAGGCCTTGAGGAATTTCGGCAATTTGTTTTCCACTAGTTGAGTGGAGTATTCCGAGATGGGGTTGCTTTAGGTGGGCTAGATAGGTAGGAAGGTACATGCATAGGTCGGCACTTAACCCTTTTGGGCAATGCGTCAACGGCAGTCACCGTCATCGTCACACGTCAGCGCACTATCATCAGCTTGTTTACACGCATAATTATGTGTGCCGGATTCCAGGAAATGTTCCAGTCTACAGTCGACTCACCCACTCCTACTCCTCGCCCTGTTATCCTTGCGGCTTTTGGGGTCTGCCGCGGCAGACGATTTAATGCCTCGTGACAGATTTCTCACTTGAACTTAAGATGACGGGCAGCGTCACAATTTGATGCTGATAATATGCTAATGAGGTTTGTTTATTTGATTTATATTCTCCTCGTCATGGCTGCCACGAGAAGGTGTCGAAGCTGCTCGGCAAACAGTGGGGTCAGGACCTTGAGCTTCACTCGAATCACAGGTAAGTGGAAGTTAATCGCCTGTCGCAGAGTTTTTGCCTCTAAATTGCATAAATTTGGATGCATTGATAGGGCCAACTGCTCGCCTGTGCTCAAGGAGATGAGGGAAGATGGATCTGGTTGGCAAGGTTAGTTACTTAACTTTTTCCCATTAAAACTGAATAATTAAAAAGCTTTTATTTATTTACGTTTTGTAGAACAAACAGCAATGGCCGGTATTATTTCAGCAGCTAGTGCTGTACAAAATAAAGGGAATACCAGGTCCCAATCCTGGGCCTCAACTAAGTCATTTTCCTGATGATAATCGGGATAAATCGGATGAGAGCACAAGTGACGGCGAATACCACCAGGTTGGCACGGACCTCCTCCTTGGATCGGTCCTCGACTCTATTCGGCTCAAGAGACAGTGTGCGAAACATCTCAACTGCGGCTGGACACAGGCTATTAGATGCAGTTCCCCAATATTTTAAACATTATACTTACATTGCTAACAAAATTTGGAACAAGTTGACGTTTGAAAAAGTAATGTGATAAACCCGCCTAGAACGATTTGTGAATAGTCTTGTGAACGAAATCTGTTTAATGACAGGCCTACAAAACTATAAAAAGAAAATCAAGGATAGGATGATGTTTCATATACTAGGGATCCTTTTGTTTCGGATAGAGTAAGACCTTGCTACGTTTGCAGTCAATATAATTTCTTTGTAAAGGAAATCATCCAAAAGATATTAACAAAAGATGGGAAAATGATCCTTTGTCCCTTAAAGTGAAAAAAGATTACATTGACTATGTTCTGAGTTAACTTATTTAAGTATGATCGTTACCCCACGATGGAGCATCGAACCTGGGACTTTAGGCTGCAGTTCCATTTCGGCTAGCATACTTTTGGGAGTTGGCTAAGTACAGGCCGAGCCGCTGGACTGGGCCTAAGTCAAATACCGTGTTGTGCGGCCATTAGTCCGGGTAGATTCCGGTGCACATTATTTCTGGCCACGGCACGTGTTTGAACCGCAAACAGATGAATTTCTGCAGTGCCGAGCTCCGCTCCGATGAGGACAACGAATTATGAGCAGGCGGCAGCCACTCAGGGCAGTTTGCGCATTCCAAGTCTCGGTTCAGGAGCAGGAGCAGGAACAGGAGCCCGAGGAGCACTGCAATTCGTCCTCGGGGTCTTTTTTGTGTTAATAATAAATAAACGGACGGGCCTTGCAGCCGGAGTCCGGAGTGGAAGCCCTGCTTGTGTTTTGGACACACCGGAGCGCATTTTAATGGACGAATGCAGCAGCGGAGTGGAAGTGGGAAATGGGTAGTGGACCCAAAAACCCATAACCCGTAGACGTAGCACACCTTTTCCCGGGTGCATGTGTGACACCCGGCCACCGTCCAACCCCCCTCCCCCCGTTCTTCGCCTGAAATACGGCATTTGCTCGTCCATCTTTTGATTTAGCACCGACATAAAAATGATTTATCAGTGACATTAAAATAATGCACACTGTGGCGCATTTTATGTGCGAATGGATTTTCGCGCCTTTTTGTTCTCGTTTTGTGAAGGGAGAAGGGGCTAGGGGCAGGGTGGTGCAGTCGCATTTACCCCCTTCCAGCAGTAGAGACCGACCCGAACCGACCCGAGGCGAACCCCATGAGGGTACAGTACATCGTATACGGTTCTCCCAAACAGCTATCCGTCCGTTCGTCCGTCCTCTGGTCCGCATCAGACTTTGTGTGCCGCCGTCAGCCGAATGTTTTACGGCGAGGTGTTTGTGACTGAGTCTCCGCTAGCTGCATCACCACCCTGTACATAGGGATCTCGGTGGGGGTTGGGGCCTGGGCCGTTAGGTGGCTGGATGCACCTATCCGGACCTAGAATTGCCTCGGGCTGCTGGAGCATCATAAATGTAAACTTTTATGCGATTATCGCGCTCTCTTTCTGGCTGTCATACCATTTGGAGGGCGCTGCGCTATGTGCCAAGTGCACGGAGAGAAAATTTAGTTAATAAGTTAAGGGTATTGCATGGAAAATATGTAAGAATGAATTCCAATTGACTCTTAAACTCAATAGTGTGAAATAATGATCTCTTTACATTTGGGCAGATCTACGAAACAGCAACAACAAATTTTGACTTAGCCTCCTAATCGCTGCATTAAATTTTGCAAGATCAAGTCTAGATTATTAAATACATATTTTAGCACTTGTTAAAACAATAACGATGTACTAATGTTTTTACAACCGCCGATAGATATTAGGTACTGCCTTACTAATCAGTGGAGTTTTATCTTTGTGCAGACATAACCTATTGGGAATTATAGATCTTTAGAGGCCATTGTCTTCTGCATTAAGAAGAAAAAGAAGACACACAAATTGCATTCTTCTTAATAATATTACTATTCATTCTTAATATTTATTCACAACTAAACAGAAATAAAAAATGCTGTTTTCCCCGACTTTTTCCAGTGCTCTTTTGTGCTGTTTGAAATGTGCCATAATTTGCACCCAGATGTGTGACACCAGCACTGCGAGAGCGACGAGCGGGCACACACTGGGAGGGTCCCGGTGCTGGTTACTGGTTCCTGGTAGCTGGCTATCAACTGGAACGCGGCTAGGATGTGCCCTGCCACCGAAATGGACGACAGCATATGCCCCCGTGCGGGGTCTGGAACTCATTAGAGTGGGTTCTGGGTGTGCGAGTTTAATGAGGACACCATAGGAGCGAGGAGATGGCACAGGACGCAGGCGCTGGATAGAGGCGCTGTAGATGGGACAGATAGGAGGGACATGGACGTGGACGTGGATATGGATGTGGACATGGGCATGCACATCTGCAGACGTCGCTGATTGCCCGGGTCCAATCTCAGTGGTCGTACGATTCCCATGCCTTGCCCATTCCGTGGCCAGTTGGCAACGTCAGCATAATTTCCTGATGCTAAATGCCAAACGCAGGACGAACAGGACGAACAGGACGAACCAGAACGGGCCAGCCGAGCACTTAAGCCCATCCGCCATCGACTGACCGACTGCCAGCGCACGAGTTTGCAAAATGGGATTGGGTTTTGGATTGGGTTCGGTTCGGGGCAGAACCAGAAGCAGAAGCAGCCCGAATGGGAACAGCCCAGCAGGATGAAAGGCTGGCAGGATGGCAGGATGGCTGGGCAGAGTGATATCCTGGTGTAGTTGTAGTGGTGGCTCTGTGTCATTGTCTCGCGTGGGCATGGCAGCAGGCTGAGGGGCAGCTGGCCAGGAGCATCAGGAGCAGGACCAGCATCAGCATCAGGGCAATTTAGAGAAGCACACACACACACTGACACACCTGTTTTTGGGTAATTTATCTCGAAGAATTATTATTTCAAATATTTTGAGGGGCTGGGGTGCACTGAGAGAAAAGTATTCTCAAACAGAAATGTAATTTTGTAATAAATTACTATATTACCTAGAATGCCTTGGCTTGTCACTTTAAACTTTTGGTAAAACGTTAAGATTGTTAGCCTTCTGATCTTTTTTTATTGTAACTTTAGTTTTGTTTCTTTCTTTCATATTGTTATTACAACCTATTGAAATTCTAACTGTGATCATATTCTTATTAAAAAGTATGAGGTCCAACAGTTTTTTGCAGTGTAAAACAAGCAGAGAGATGGAAGCCATGGCACACAGAGACAGGGCGACGCACCGAAATAAAAGGATTTTAAAATGGTCATTTGATATGAATTATGCGCGTTGGTGCAATTACAGAATCCCTCCCTCCTCTTTCACCGACTGCGCCCTGACTCCGTCCCTGAACCCACCTCAGCTGAGGGGGATTCCCTGCTCTGCACCCCCTCCCATTCCGACCGGACTGTGATGCCTTTGTCTGACTGTGATGCGGTTGTCTCGGCACTTAGAAGAGGCGAATCCGGCTGCTGTTCGGCTTGTTTACGGCTGGCCCGGCTGGTGGTCCCCGCCCGCTTCGGGACCTCTTTTGCCGCCCGCGACTTGGACTTCATCGTTAAATAATTAAATCAGCTGCTAGACTAATATATTTCTCTTAATTGCGAGTAACTCATGGCTAGCGCGTACGCAAAGTGTCCGGGCCATTTGGCCCCATTTCTGATTTATGCGCCATATAAATAGCCGCCCCGCCATAACCAATAGCTAATATCGCTGATGGGCTGCATATGCAGGGCGTAATGGATTGTCGGCCCAAACAGAAGGCCAAATGGCTGGCTGGCACCTCTCTAAATGGGTTCAACTTTTATTTGGTTTTGGAAGAGTAAAGGAATGGGTATATGTTGTGGGAAATATATTTGATTAACAAAACTATATACTACTATGGAGACTAAAAGGTTTTATTATAAATGAATACTAATAATACTTTAGAAAACTGATCATCAATACTTTGTATTTGTTTGGTTAATTTGTTCCATATTTCTTAACTATTTAGGAGATGTAATGATTACATGTATCCATGTTTGTTCTTCAAACTTGAATATTTACCGAAAAAGTATCTTTTTCACTAAAATAGATGAACTCTACTCTACTTAATCTTTCTCAGAACATATCCATGAAATTTTCATCAAAAGGGATAATGAAAAACTGTTTTCAGTATCCTCGAGCAGATTTCATGCTCGATTGAGCCCCTTTAGATTGTCTTCAAATTCAGACATCCAGAAGTTTGCATAGTTGGCCAGAAATGTCGTCGGCAAAGGGAACACCGAATAATCAATGGAAAATCAACAAAAATGTTAAAAATAATTGCCGCGACACCAGGAACACTTTCCTGCCTCAAAGACCCTCGCGCAGCCCAAGGGGTGGCAACAAAAAGGAAAAAATTGAAAAAGAAATGTAAAAATAATCGGCAATAAATTTAGCAAAAGTGTCGAAAACGGCACACACACCAGGGTGAAAGGGACGCGGAGGGGGAGAGTCAAACATGGCAGGAATTCGGCCACGCCAAGAACTCATAGTTCAATGTCCTGAGCAGGCGACGCCTTCCATGGGCGGAAGGACGGAGGGAACGGCGGGCAAGGAGGGCACGGCGAGGTCCGTGGCAACCGCATTTATAATAAATTGAATTGCAATAACTCAACTTCAATCAAAAATCATAATTCATGGAATTCGACAGCCCAGAACCGAGGCAACTTGCCCCGGACTCCCTTCGACTCCAACCCTAAGTTCCGAATGCAGTTTGGGTTTGGGCGCAGGCCATCCTTCTTCCTCCTTCTATCCTCCCGGATGATGTGTGCGAGTGTTTGTTTCCTTATCATGCTCGGTAGTATGGAACTCGAAGGGTACTTAGTAGTAGCTATTTTAAATCCCATTTACTTTTTTACAATAAATTACTGCCTTTTGGGATATAACACCATCACCCAATCTAAAGAACTTAACTAACTTAATATGCCTAAAATTGGATTTGGAATATCAGTTAAAAAAGATTTGATATCTTTGACTATTTATCATCTTAAGCTAACTTTCTTGAGTATATACTTTCTTAACTGAACCCTTTTCCAGGACTCCTCTTACTAAGTACTAGGTACTTGCTAGTCCAAAACGCTGCAGAGAGGAAATCCTCCTCGCCTTTTCCGAATTTTTATGTGCTGCCTGCAAGTTGCATTGGCGACGCAGCCGAAAATTATAAATCTACGATTTGACATGAAGACGCGCATGTGTGTGTCGGGCGATTGTGTGTGTGTTTGAGTGCTTCCAAGACATGGATTTATAGACGAAGACATAAATACAAGTGGCACTGTTGGTTGCAAGGGCAAGGAGGAGGTGCAGCAGAGGAAGGGGCAGCGAATCGACTGGCCAAAGACACTGGCAAAAACATTGAAAGTGCACCACCGCCCACGGCAAAGGCGGAACACGCTCAAAGCCCATAAATATCCTGCCAGTTAGCCAAGTGTGTGTGTTTGCTGAGGAGAAGGGGATCCTTCGGGGGCAAGGGCGGGGGCAACGCATTTTAGGTGAAAATAATCACCGCTTCACATGAAATCATTCTGGCCAAAACCGAATGCCAAAGGAAATGCAAGCGGCGCCAAATGGGATACTCGCAAGGACCCTTTACGAATCATCCGAAAAAAGGAAGCGCCAGGGGAAATAAATTCAAAGTTCGCCCCCATATCAAGGGCAAACAAATCAAAAGTGACAATTTTCCTGGGGTGCGGGAAAATCGTTTAAATGATTTTTAGCCTTGATTTGTGGGAAAGTGGAGAACACAAGAGGAACGACGTTTTAATGGTAGCCAGCCGAGCAGTTTAATGTGTCCAAAGATTGTCCAGCAAGAAATTTATTGGATTGAAGTGCGGCTATAAGGAAAAGCGAGTTTTGATTTCCATTTTCACGGATGGCTATTGTATAAACAAACTAGAATGCCAGCCCTTACAAAAGCTAACTCTGCTATAAAGAATATTTCCAGGAATAATGGAAAAGGAAAAGAACTGCAAATTCTCGCAGGTTTCCGTTCCTTCATGAATGGAGAAGGAAAAGCTTATTCAGCGAATATTAGATACTTTAATATTAGTTCGTCTTTCCTTAAAACATACCTTTTTACCTTGACTTTAATGTAAGTTATAAAAAATATGTTTTTCACTCCCTTTCACTTTTTAACCCCAATAATTAAATCTTTATCCGCATGGAAAGGGTAAGCGAATATTATGGAAAACGAACAATTTTTCAATGTAACCAATCTACTGGATCTACTACTACTCGGCTTAAACATATCTTCATTAAAATACCCTTTATTTATAATTTTATTAATCAGATAGAATACCATTTATTTTGAATGACCACAAAGATCACTAAACAATAAAAATATAGTCCATCAATTATCTCACATTTCTAAGATATGTACTCTTAAGGACTGGCACTATCAGTGCCCCATTAGGTATCAAATCTTCGAGAAACGCAAACAAAAAGTTCCGCAGACTTCCGACTTTTTATTCAGCCGCCAAAGTATTTTAATGTTTATTTATATGTAGATTTTTTTGTGTTATTGCAAAAAGGACAAGACCCCGAAGGACCCCGGCGAAAAGGTTGCGGATGCTCGTCGCCGGATTTAGGAATATTTTTTCTAGTGTCATAAAAAAGGGAGCAGGCAGTGAAGCAAGTACGCAACACCTTTGGTCCTGGCCAAACACTCAGTAATACACCCAGAAAAAAGGACATTCAACAAAAGGGGATGCGGAAGTAATTTACAATTTGGTAGAAGAAATGAAAATCAGACATAAAAGCAAACAGAAATTGCAGGATCAGGATGTGTCTGGCCGCGACGTAAATTGACAAGATTTATTTTCAATTAAAACAGGCGCTGCGCATTATCCTTTTTGCAGGATACACGACGACGACGCCGCCGCTGCTCGCAACACTTTTATTGGCAGCAGCGTTTTATGTTTCATCTCAATTGACGATAAATCAAAAGCGGTCGACGCATTTCAACATTTTGCACATTTCCCCCAATCGTCCTCCTTTTTTCGGGGAAGAAACCGGCTATTGCAAGGACGAGGCTGGAGTCACCACCCCTAAGCCGCAACCGCATACAGCGTTGATGAATGACGAAGGACATGCACATGCAGTGCAGCTGTGTGCGAAGTTGCCTTTGTGTCTGTGTGTATATGGCAGCAAGGACACGCACACCGATTGGCTGCACGTCGACGTGCAATAATTCCATGCGTCGTCCTGGCGGGCAACAATGGAAGGAAGAAGCCAGCTGACTGTAGTCGACTTAAGGATACGGTTAGGGGAATAGTTATATGGAGGAATCGATTAACTCTTTTCATAAAAAGCATTCTTAAGTACATATATTATTATTAATTAATATTTACTGATTACAAAAAGTCATTAAAGTTTACGTTTTTATTCGATCAGTTCGCTATTTCTGCTAAGATATGAGTACTAAGCCTTGAGAGATCGGTTAGCTAACACTTAAAACTAACTATTAATACCTTAGAGAAAATGATATAGTATATACCCCAGCCCCTTCTGATTATCGGGTACAAAATAGTATAAAAATAAGAGAGGAAAAAAGGTGGATGCAGTGCAGCCGCCTCATTGTTGTCCCGGTTATTTATGGCCCATTAAGGCAAGCGGCAATTGCACATGTGTTCTTCACACTGACAATCTTCCAGCCCCAGTATCCACCCTCCACCCACCGCAGGACCTCCTTTATGTGTGTCAGAGTCCTTCTTGTTCTTTGATTCGGGCTGCTTTCGCTTTTAATTGTTTTGCCCGGCACAAATGTTAATAATTACACCTTCTGACGGCCGAGTGCAGCGAATGATTCGCTACGTTTGAATGTGTTTGTGTTGGGGATCAGGGATGTCCTTTTGTCTAATAACCATAAGACATAATTCATTCGGAATCGTGTTCCTCCGATGGAATTTATGACACTTCACCCACATCCAGCACTTCTCCGATTCCTACGATTCACCCGATTCACGCACGCAAAAAACAATTATGTGTCCTCCAAGTGCCCGTGCCCCATTCCGTGGCACATTTAATTGCCTTTGGCCAAAGGATTCGAATGGAGACATTAGAAAAATCTGTCGCCGACGACAGGACACACGTCGTTCTGCTCAACTGAAGGTCGTTAAAATGCGAGAATTACATGTTGGCTCTGCACTTCGAATGGGAGGAGCTCCATTCCCACGTGTCGAAGGATCAGGCTCATACAAATCTCTCGGCCCACATGTGTGGCAAAAGTTTATTGGACTCGACAAGTGCCATGTAAAAGAGGAAGGAGTTGGGGGTTCCATTAATTTGGGAACAACTGAAAGTGACTCTCAATGAGAGGTAAAGGGGATTTTGTGTAAGTTTAATGAGTAAGTTTAACAAAGCTAAAATTATCCAAAAACACCAAAGTATCTTTAATCATTATACTTAAAATAGTAGAGAACGTTTAGAAAAACCCTTAAGAATTCATTTCTCCACTGAAGACTTCTCCACTTTCCCGGCCAATCAGAGTCGAGTCCAGAGTCTGCAACCCAATGCTTTGAGTTCTGTGAGGCGCCACAACAAAAATGTTGAAATCATTGCAAAGTGACAGAATAAATAACACAGTAAATAAATTTGAGCAGGCGCCGTCGAGGGAGAGACACGGACAGGACTCGCAGGATGCCAGGACATAAGCCACAGTAGCTCCTGACTGGTCTTCTTTGCTCTAGTACAATATGTCCTGGTCTGGTCACAAATTTATGCGACATCCAAGTGCGGTGCAAGCTGCGTTTGACTGCTCCTCCAGCAGCCAGGACAGCCAGCTGTCCAATGCATTATCCTTGTCAAGTGAGCGGGTAACAAGTTCGCTTTTTCAAGGAGCGTATCAAGGTCTCCCTGAGCTGGGCTCCGCCTGGCAAAATATGAGAGTCCTTAGAGGTCAGAAACTAATACTGACTGTAAGTAAAACAAAAGAAAAGCAAAACTAAACTAGATTTAATAGGTCTCAAGCAATTTTAGATAAGGAGTTAAATGGAAAGATCTAATGAAAGATTTCTTTATTCTCCATTTACCTAGTTAATCACAGTTCTTCCAAAGCTAAATATGAAAGCTATGTATATTGTACAGAAACTGTTGGTACAAAAAGATTATGAAGATATATCTTGTGATTTAGGTTAAGAGTACTTTTGGCTTAAATTGAAACCATGATGGGAGCTTTCTTTTCTTTCGAAGAAGAAAGCCTGCTTAAAATTCTTGGTAAAGCTCAAGATTTGTCTTCCGAGTTTCTGCATCTTGACCGGTTTATTAGTCACCGCAGCCACACCCATCGAAAAGGCAATGGCAATCATTACCGTACTGATCTCCAGGAGAAATAACTTAAAGCTATACTTAAGATCGGTATTGTATGTGACCATTATGATGACGTCCGCGAAGATGGTCTCAATGGTAAACCAGATTCCAAACATGGAAATTTCGCCTATTAAGAAGGCGACGATAGTCTCCAGGACAGACTTGCCCCAAGGAGGCACCTTGTTCCAGCGGCTGGGTATCACCTCGCAGTGGCACAGCAGATCCATCACCGACAGATAGAATATCTGGCTGCCCAAGATGGGGGTGCCCTCGAAAACAACCGGATCCAGCTGTACAAAGAGCGCGGTATGCAGCACGAGGTGCACGAAGCAGGCCAATAAAATGGGAAATGGATGAGTCATTTCTGTTGAAGGGAATTAACTCTGATATCGTTGATGTGTTGAAGATAACGCAAAAACTTACCTTGAGACTACTCAATAAACTACAAATTTAATGTTATACAAATTTTGGAATCAATCGAAATTACTAAATTGAACTTCTACATAGAATTTGTCTTAACTTAAAAAGCTTGCTGTGTCAGGGATATATTTTTAAAGACGTTTTTGAAAGTTTAAACGTTGACTTCTTACTGAACATGTGATAGTTTAACTTTAAAAGATGCATTAAAAATCTTTTTAAATAAAAAAAATAGTGTCCCACGGAACATTGATAATAATACTCTCTTTGTAACGTGTGATCTGTAAATCGTTTTGGAAGGAGGAGGGAGACCTTGTTCATTGTTCCGCCTCTGTAAGCCAACCGAAATCGAGGTGTACTCGTCTGGCTTAAGCCTCTTTAGCACTGAATGTTTAATTCTGCTAGCTGAAAAATGCATAAATACCGTTTTAATTAGAAAATTAGCTGGAAATATGCAGCTCACGTTAATCGCATGACGTCGTCGTCGTCGTTGTCGTGGCCCTGGTTGTTATTGTTGCCGCATGGAAACGGGGCTGACTGGCAAATGAAAATTCAGATGGAGAGGCACCAAACTCATGCAATATCCAGGAGATGCGACAACAACTGACTGCATGCCAGTGTCCTCGGCAATATCATCCTTGGCCCCATCCCCCGGCCCCCTTTTCCTGACACTCGAAATCATTGCCACTCCGGCTTTGGCTTTTACTAGAATACGGATTCAGATCCGGATCCGGATCCTGGTTTGGGCCATGGAGGAGTAGTTCTGCTGTTTGTTGCGACAAATGCCGTTATAATTATTTATACCGTAAGCACATTTTATGGTGTCGCAATTTTAAAATGCAATTAGAAGCGCGCCAGCTTCCTCTCCCACCTACCTTTCTCGACTCTTTGGAAGCCCAGCAGAATACCAAACACAGCGAAAAAGGAATCGGAAATGTAATAAAGGGGCAAATGTAATGTAATCGCAGCGTAATTCTTAATGGAGTTTTGTCATTTCACCGAAAAAAGGCTGCGAGTGTTCCACAGGCGTTTCCAGGTGATGCTTGTTTGGGTTACATTTCCCTACCCCCAACTCATCCACCTGAGAGCCAGCTTATTAGGTTTTCCTTTCCTTATTGAACAGCCGCCACCGATGATGATAGCAATATGGAAACTCATCTCTGGCCATGCCGAGGCGGAGCGAATCGAATGAGGAGAGCACAACAGCTGCGGAAACTCAAATATATTGGGAATATTACAAAATATGAGTGGCTTGAACATCCGGTAAATTTTGTATTTACCTCTATTTCCCACAATTTCCAATATAGTTGCTTGTGAGGCTTAGCAAAGCCAGTTTTTTCAGCCGATTTGCATACTATTAGGCTCCTTTTTATTTTTTTCCTCTATTTTTATTGAAAAACATAAGGGACTGCCTCCATACATATGTATGTACATACATATGTGCGTATGTATATATGTATGTACATATACTGATGAGACTTTTAATAATAGTCCGTTCCCATGAACTCGATAACTTAAAGCACATTCACTCATAACGGATTTATCGAAAGCCTATCGAAATATAATACTATTAAAATTTATTTTACATAATATAAACCAATTTGCTAAGTAAATCAAATAAATTTATACTTAATATTCCAACCTCTAAGTAAATTAAACTCTTTGAGCAAGACCGGGTCCGACTGCAGTATTTATCGACTGCGGTCGTAAACCATTTGCAGCAATTATCTGCTCCAAGTTCGCCCGACGCCTTGGGGGAAATATGCGGCAAATTAATATGGCCCAGGACATCTGCAGGACTCCTCGGATCCCATTTGCCCGGGAATGGTGGTGGGTGGTGGCACAACCCTTGCTGGCCTCCGCTGCCAATGAGTTTTTAAGCGCAAGTTTCGCTTAATTTATAACGAGGATTACAATAAACAAACTAATCTACGGCAATAAACACTAAAAATCCTCCGAAAAGTGCCCGTAGATGCTGTGCCTTATGGCTGGGGTGGACTCAGGGGAAGAGGAAGGGCAACAGGAGATGAGATTTCGCCACTATCACGGGTTGCGAGTCCTCCTGGGCATTGGAGTTGCCTTGTCGATTTTATAAGTTAAATCGCAGCAATCCTTTGGCCTTTTAAATATGCCATTTCCGTTGGGAGATTATTTTTCGATATCGTATGATTCGAGATGTTTACGAGTGTCCAGTGTCCACGGGATTCGGCCGATGGCCAGATAGGCATCGTCAACCCTAGTGCCACCACCTCGCAGGACCAGCACTCCGGCGATGGAGAAGGGTTTAATGTGCGTGCCTCATCCGCTCGATCCCTTTTTCTATTAACAATAAATTTGTACGATTTTTATTTTGACCGCAACGAGTTTGGTCAAGATGTGTGGACAGAAGATGTGTCGAAGGAAGATGGTGTAGGTACAAGTTTAAGGAGTAGAACCATTGAATGGTTATAAGTTTTCATTCTTAAGTTAGACTTTCCATTACCCACACCAAACCTCTTGAGTTACAATTGTAAGCCCTTTGTCCCAGGCATTCTAATTACTTTGCACTGAGCAAAGGAAAATGAAGAGCTGAAGCGGTTGGAGCAGCGGCAATGCTATCTCTTCATTCCATCATAGATACTAGACCCATGACCAATGGACCATGGACAGGGGGAATGTGGGACAGACAGAACAAATCGGTAAACGGGATGCGCGTGATGCCCAAAAGGATGCCATTAAGGACAACGGTTACAATCGTTAGTGAAGCCATTAGTTTGCAGCGCCAATATGCGAAAATCACATACACATTCGGCCCACATCCCACCCACTAGGGCCACCCGAAAAACAATGTTGCAGAGTAAGTGTATAATTGCAAGTGGCACAGCTTTCGGAAAAAGCGAGATATAACATGTAATAACTTTGGCCGGAGACCCACAGCTCCGAAATGTCCATCTTCTACTAATGTGTCCTGGCTGGGATTGGATGCGAGACTGGGCGAGTCACGAAGTTGCCAACGACAATGGCCCGGCCAGCGAAACAATAACAATAAAACAGGGCCAAGACCAGGACGGCCAACCAATGTACGAGCAACTGAAAATAATTTCAGGGATATTATCGCCACCGTCGGCAGATGTCCCAAGTGCGATATGAGCCGAGCCCAGTGGACCCGAGCTGACCAGGATCTCAGCCGGACATCAACATAATGTCTACTTTACAATGTGGATAAACTTGCAAAGAAAACGAAATCACATCCATATCGAGAGCCTGGGAGGAGGACCCACCTGAAGTGGACTTAGGGATGGCACAAGCTAAAAGCTCTTAAATATAGTATAAACAATTTTTGATAACTATATCTTAATGGTTAAGTTATAAACGTGAAATGTAAATATTTATTTTTTATTATACAGAGTTTAAGCAGCTAACTTAGCATAAGTTACATGCGATTTTTATTTATAAATATATTTCTGAGAGTTACATTAATGAAATAATTAAATAAATGTGTTACATTATCCAAGTATGAAATGCAAAATAGATCAATCACTAATTAATACCTTATTATTTATGTCTTCGATATTTATCTAAATCAAGCACATCCCTAACTGGAACCATCCAATTGTCTGATGGGCAGATGGGCAGCCACCCCCTTTGGAGCACTCGCTGGCCACTCGCACGCCACGATGCAATAAGTTACCACTGGCTCGGCCATTACGACGTCGTGGCAAATGGTGGCCGGTGGCCGGCGGAGCGACCTGGCACAGCCGGAGACAAATCCGAAATCCATACTCGTAAACAAATGCAACTAATCGCCGTTCATGTTGAACGTGTTCACGGCTAGGCAAACGTGAAATTGTGGTCAGCCACAGTTTCTAGTCCTGTTCCGATCCCGATTCCGATTCCTGCTCCTGCTCAGCATCTATGTACATCCACCTCCGCCTCGAGTTGCAGCTTTCATTTTGTGTGGGCTTATGGCTCTGATTTCGATGGCAGCTTGGACTGAAACTGAAATAAACGAACATGTGGATGAGCTTATGGACCAAATGAATTACGACTTGTAGGGTAACACTTTTCTTAGACTATCGTTACCACAGAATCACTTGTGTCTAATAATTTTGAACCTTTAATTATTGAAAAAATTATACTTCATTTTATGCTTAAGTAAAACTTGTTTGTGTTTACCCTTTAACTTACAAGTATTTTAGGATGTTTCGATGCTCAACAGGTTTTTTACAGATTTTTGTTAAAACTATAACGTACTTCTAGGGCTGGGATCGACTCAGTAAATTGCAGAAAAATGTATAAAGTTGGCACTGATGGTTGAAAGGTTGTTAGTTCCCAGTCACTGAGTTAACTATTTAAGGTTTTGGAACCAAAAATGAGGGATATTCGTAAGAGATCTCACCCTAAAGGATAATCCTAACACAAATCTTAGAGTAACACGTTGGTTGGATCCGCTGCCAAATGTATCTTAACCACAAACTATCGACTTTTAATTACTTATCGAGAACTTGAGTGATGCCTGACTTCAGTATATTGGCTAATGTACATATATACTATACGATATACTATATAGAGATAAAATAAATATAAGAAGTTAAAATGTTTGTGCTCCCTCACAAAACATATCAATATAATTCATTTTAAGTAATACAGAAAATTAGAAATACAGAAAGTTGTGACAGTAAGACAAATCACATTTCCAAAAACTTCACAATGTAAATACAAATGGGTTTCTTTGTAATCTAGTGGCCTTTTAAATATCTTTTATTAAGAAACTAAACTAGACGATTTGAACTTAAGACATAAGGCTTATTCGCAGCTAAGCTGAGCTACAGAGCACATCGCACGAAAGGGTCCTATAAAATATTTTAAAAAATCGAATTTTTTGTGTTTTTTGTTCTACAAAGTTTGAAAATGTCGGTTTACGAAAACAGTGGAAAAACTCGCTGTGTTGCGGCAACCAGAGATATGGATGATGGTGTCCAGAAAGACGAGCATTTCGATGATGGCTACGATGAGCATTTCTTTGGCGACGACGAGGATCGCGCACGACTGGAAAGTCTGAATGAATTCGAGCGGGAGCTCATTCTTTATGAGCGATCTGTGCGCAGGGAAGACCTCCGGCGCAAGTTCAACATCCGCTGTAAACTAGCCAAGAACGAAAAGCTACCCCAAATAGAAGAAGATCCCAGCGTGAAGAAACGCTCACAGGCCAGGCGACAGAACCTGGATCATCAGCGAGCTGGTGACAAGAAAGCCCATGCCTTCGGCCGCTTGATGGCCAGGCGGAATAACAAGCTGGCCAATAACAGTAAGGGGACCGAGGAGTACGTTAAGCAGAATAAGGGCAAAGAGCCACTGAAGCTTAACAAGGTGAAGCTGAGGGCAGCAGAGATCTACTCCGACGACTCTTCAAGTAGCAGTGAGGAGGAGAGTGGGGCCACAGCGGAGCCGGAGAAGCCACCTGAAGTTGAACCACGAGTGACCCTGCGGGAAGATCTAAGCCGAGCCATCCTAACACGAAGCATGCTGGAAGATTTTCTGGATAAACCAATTTTTGAGAAGACTGTGGTCGGTGCCTTTGTCCGAGTGACTGCTGGTCCTTCGTATAGTATTCACCAGGTTGTTGGTCTTCACAAGGATTCGAGGGACTACCAGCTGGGCAAGAGGCGTACCAATCTGATCCTGGCTCTGAAGCATGCCTCCGAAAGGCGTTATTTCCAGATGGACGTGGTTTCCAATCAGCCGATCACAGAAAAGGAGTTCGCAGTATGGATGGCAATCAATAAGCTCGTTGATAAAGGCCTTCCAACTCTCGCCGAGATCGCCAATAAGCAGTTGGAAATACAGAACGCCTCCGAGTACTCCTTCACCGAAGATGATGTGGAGAAGCTGATTCAAAGAAAGAGGGAGGCTGGGCAGATGCATAGAGCCGCGCACAGGAAGGTGGTTCTATTGATGGAGCGGGATATGGCTGTGGACAGGAATGATCTAGAGAAGGTACAGGAGTTGGAGAAACAAATCAAGCAGATTGACGAACGGCGCAAAACGAAGGACAAGGCTGCAAGTGAGCATCGGCCCCACGTGATCAGTTTGCCGCATGTTGCCCACGTGCCCACCATTTACAGACCCAGCTCGATTCTGCCTTCCGGCAGCAAAAGATCCTTCGCGGAACGAGCCGCCAAGTCGGGGGGACTCGACCTGGAGCAGTATATGAGACGGAAGTATAAGAAAAGCGCCGTTGTCAGTCACAGCCGCGTGGAAAATAGTGATTCGGCGGAGCGTGCTTCCACCGCTCCCACTGCTCTCACTGCTCCCACTGAAGTTCTTAAAGATCTCGACAAGGGCGGGCAAAAGGTGGATGATGCAGAATCGGACGAGGAGGAGGAGGTAGATTTATTTAAGTTAACGGACTTTAAAATTGAGATAGATACCTCCCGACTAGGTGAGTGATAGTTGCTTACTGTTACTGTGGAGAAACTAAAATCTTTGTTTTACAGTTCCTCTCAATCAAATCTTTCCGCCTGAAATGCTTGGAAAGTTTTAAAAAGGGATCATTGTCCCTATTATAGATGCTGTCATGCTGACTGCTATGCAACAGATTAGCCAACTCCCAACACAGCCACCTCTTATACTTGTTCGATGTTATATAAACACGATTGGAGCTTCAAAGAGAATAAAATGATTTGGTGATGAAGTCGAACTGAAAGTGGAGGAAGGAGCTCTACCATCGCCACCACAACTTGGCAACTTTGGGAGTAGAATCATGGCGGTTAGGAACCGTCTTGGTTTACCGCCCACAGAGGCCAAGCTGTGATGGTGATGGTAGATTTACTTAAGCCACAGTTAACACTGGACTCATCACCATTCGGTGCTCCTCAAAAAGCTTGTCTATCTTAATTCTAGTTTGGAAATTTAAGGGTGGCAAGTTTCGCTTTTTGTTTGATATCTATTATCAGAATGTGTCTTCTTCGTTTAATTATCCTATATTTGTGGTTCTTCTTTTGAGTAACAATAAAAATTAGAATATCCATCTTAATTTTTAACGAGGGGTGAGATGTGTTTAAAATGTGAAAGTCGTTGCAACTCAAAAAATGTTTCCACATGGAAATGCAGATTGTTGATCTAATTAATCATCCACACCTCACTTGTTCCAAGTTCCTGGCTCTAATGCCGCACTAAGAGCAGTGATTGGTCAACCTCGGACTGTGATGGTACGACTAAGTCATTAATAATACAAATAGAAACTCATTCGTAGTCCGGGCATCAAGTGGAATTGGAATCATCTGCGGGGCGGACGCTGGGTCATAATTGAAGATGAGCCCGCAGCCACAAAGGTGACAAAGGGCGCTCGACTGGCAATAAAATAAATGCCATTTACTGATGAGTCATCAACATAATTTTTACGATTCGCCCTATTCGATGAATAAACAAATAAACCAACTGGAACTGGCTACGAAAACGAATCCTGAATTCGGGAGACTAGTTTGAGCGTGTCACGCAAGCATTTCGCATGCATTGACTTTTTATGGCAGCCAACGAGCCAACCAGCCAACGGGCCATCGGGCAACGGATGAAAACGAACCTTGGAAGCCACAAGGACTCCAATCGACAAATAATGCAAAATCATTTAGTGGAACTCCTAGACCCAACACTTCTCCCAGCCCCGCCAGAGTCATAAAATCCCGCACCGAATGAAATTCTCATCAAGTCGCAAGTTGGCACAATTTCACTTTGCCGCTAAGCAACTGAATGCGGTCCAAAATGAGCTGGGCTGAGAGAAGGACCTTTGTCCTGGACATCGGTGATGAGCGATTTTCTGTAGAAAATAGTTGTGTTTTTAGTAAAAATATATAATTTTAAAAATATTTTTACCTTTGATTAGTAAGCTTTAGAAGTTATCTACAAAAATCTTTAAGCGCAGTTTATCTTCCACACTTTGACACTATCAGCTATTGAGGAAAGGTTAAAAACCGAATAGATTTTGCTTGTAAATACAGGACTGATAAATATATAAATCTTCGATTCGAACCATGCATAAGTTCACTATGTCAAGAAGGAAAGTTTTTGTCTGTAAATAAATTGAGAAATGAAAAAATAAAGTATATAAATAACGCAGATCTAAAATAGGACAAACCAAACAAAAACAGTCCAGTTGTACTAGCTAACCAGTCAGCACTGCTGGTCACTGCCACCAACTCAGCCGCCCACCTCAGCGCCCACCCACAGATCCCACTCCCCCGGCAATCGCGCGTGACTAACGTAATCAGCTCACGTAACGCCTGAACGAGATGAGATGAAATCAGCATACATACACTCAGGGCTGCGACTGCATAAACGTCGAATTTATACGAAAATGAAGAGGCCCGAACCGTTGGACCAGCTGTGGGGCATCATTCACGACCATGTCCTGGCATCGTCCTGGCCATCGGAGCCGTTTTGCAGATCTTTGACACGCGATAGAATCCCCACTTGCCGGCCTCGCTATGTGTTCATTGGTTAATTTGCAAACAAATGTCGGCCCAAATCTGGTTTCCATAAATCGAACAATGAGGCACATTTTGTTATAGGAAGAGGGATAAAGTCAGGGCTCGTACTTAGGTAGGGTATCAAATAATGCGATCTTTAACCGAGCTTAGCCTGATTTTTGCTTTCGGAAGGAGCCTTTGTTTAGGTTCAATGAAGCTTTCGATAAACCAATTATTTAAAGTCAATCTGAATATGCAAAACTATGTAGTTCGCTTTCTCTATTGCTCTTTTAGAGATGTTAAAGGTAAGCAATCCCATCTCTCCGAGCTATCTGCAATATTATCAAAAGTATTAGGCGGCGCAGTACAGTAGATAGAAATATAAATATGCCAGCAGTATTAGAACCGCCATAAAAGTCAAGCTGCTGTCGCAGGGCCATAGGGTCATTCGGTGGATTCCATTTAAATGTAAAACCCATCATTAGTAGTGCGAGCAAGTGACCCCGGGCATAAAAACGTAGAGAAAGGCTAACAAAAATCGAATGAGCCCGAGACCAGGGCCCAAACATCACGCATAAGTTTCATTTTATTTTGATTTTTACGACTGCACCACGGGCTGTGACACTCTGCAGCAGCAGTCCCACCTGGATCACTTGCTAAATAACCAACGGACAACGGACATTGGGCAACAGGAATCATGGGTGGAAAAAATGGGAGGACACGATGGTGGTTGGGGCTGGCTGACCCACCCCCGGTCATGATGTGTCCATGAGAACTAAAGCAGGGAAAATGCCTATTTACGAGCTTGCATGCTGCCGGACACATGGTAATCATATATTTTGGTCATATCTGTGGACCATAAAACCAGTGTCCTTATGTGCCTGTCAATGAGTTGTTTCATGACATTTATTTCGCCTGTTCCATCCCTGTTTCGGCCCTCTCCGAGAGCCCTGCGTGCAGATGGAAAATATTTTAGTGTCCATTTAATGTCCAATCTAAGATGAGCTCGTAACTTTTGATCGAATAAACGAGCTATCGCGCCCACCCCTCCTTGTGGGTCATAGTTGATGCCAAGGCAGTGGGAGGAAGGAAGGGTTCCGTTTTCGAACTGGGCACGCAACCTGAGTCTGCGGGTCTCTGGGGATAAGTCTCTAATTTTCTTGCCACGGCCCACAGCCGGCCCATCTGACTGATAAGCAGAAGTTATTTGCCAGGTATTTGCTTATTTTATTAGAGGATATACACTCTCTTCACTTTCTCCAAAAGGCCCTGCCCTGATTGCCAGAGCCTCCTCAAGTCATAAATATTTAATTAAAATCAAAATTAGTTTTTCAACAGCCGAGAACAACTTGAGGTCGACCGCGCGATTCCGTCAAGCCGAGGCTTCGGAAAATATCAAGACCGAATGTAAAGCGGGCGCAAAGCACCTGGCTTGTTAAAAATTAAAATCGCACATGCTCCCGCCCTCGAACAACCGTGGCCAGCCTCCCCAGCTATTTCCGCAGCTTTTGCGGTTTTGAGCGGCGATTTAAGCGACGGGCACACGCAATCCACACCGCTTGCATAACTTTCGACCTCCCCGAACGGCGGACCCGTAAAGTAGATTTGCATGCGACGCCCTAGAGACCCGAAGAGAAAGTGGTTTTCCACACCTGGCTGGCTTGCTGGTTGGATCTGGATTTGGATTTGGCTTGTGACCAATTGAATCGAGCAGAAACCACTTGCGAGAGCCCACTGATGCGGTGACAGGACCTGTAGTTTGGGGAAACGCCATTTGGAAACATAAACATACATTTCAAAAAAGGTATATTTCGAGTTTAGATATAGTTACATAAAGGACCATGAAAAGGATTCTTAGCTAAAGGTTCTTACCTTTTTCAAATTACTAAATCCGATGTTCTAATAGGTATCGGAATCTTAAATGAGTGAAGGTTTTGCGGATCTGTTAACTTTCTGGACCTAGCTGAGGATTTCTCCCTTTACTTTTTCAATAAATATGATTCCATTGTGCTTCAGTACATTTTAAATCTCTATTGAAGTTTTGAATTCCTTATGAAGTCCTAGTCCTACTGAAAACTTAATACCTAAGCACAGACGCCAAATGGCTTTGCCTCTTAAGCTTAATTCATCAATTATTGATTTATATTAGAATCCCATTCCTAGAATAGTTGGAAACTAGTGGGAAACTATCCTAACTAATCATACCTATATCAAATTATCGGTTCAAACAAGATTTCCTTGCAATCTTAATCTGTTTCCCATAAATGATCATAGATGCATCAGATTTCCATAGGGAAATTGAGTGTTTCCAGAGTTGCCAACTATTTTTATATTATTTCATGCCTAATAGCACTTCCGATTTTCCTATTCGAGATGTTGAAAGTTTACCGAGCGTGGCATTTTGCAGAACGTAATCCCTTCTATTAGAGTTTACTGAGTTGGTTTGTCATTTCCACAAAATTGACTTTGTCTCGCTTTCCGCTCCATTCGAACTTCGAACTCCATCCCCGCACTCAGTCAGGGCGAACCGATTCCAAAAAGTGATTAAATTTAACTGGCCAACGAGTTAAACTCTGAAATCAGGAATTATATGCAATGCGAAGGACAATTGCCAGTGGAGGACATAAAACAAAACAGTGACAAAGATGCGGGGAGTCCAGGCGGCTGGAGAAGCCGGTTCCAGCGACAGGATGCGGAAAGAATGGGGAAATGAGGAAATGGGGAAATGGAAGTGGAACTGGGACTGAAGTCCTGCAAGGACATGCGGCTGCTGACTGCGACTACTCAAAATCTGTGCGTCTGCACGCATTACAAACGAATTACGAGACTCGTTGGGCAATTGCAGTTCATTGTTATTTAATATGTCGCCCAGTCGATGGCAGGATGAGCGGAGGGAGCAGGAGGATCAGCAGCAGGAGTAGCAGGAACAGCAAGAGCACCAGGAGCCGAAACGACAACGAGAACATGGCTGGGAAATTATACTTTATGCCGCCAGGACACTGGATTGCAGGATACGGAGCCGAGCTGAAGCAGACGGCATGACACTGATTGCGATATAAACGATTGTCAACGTATCCAAGTGGATTATTACCTCATGCCAATTATCATATCAACGATACACAGGCCCAGGACCTGTAAAATGGCCAGGCAGGCGCACACACCGAGCTCAGCTCTCGAAAACGCAGGACAAGCCAGGACATGGCACATTGGCTGACAAGTGGCGGGCGGCAAAGGGCCGAGCCAATGAACAGCCCAAAACACCCACCGCCCGCCCACACACTTGACGAGGCGTTGATGGTGTCGGCATCTGGCAGCTCGTCCTTCTGCCACTCCCACTGCTCCTACTCCTGGTTCTGCTCGTCCTCCGTTCCTGGCCAAATTGCATGTACAATTTTAAATGGATTTTGATTGTTTATGACAATTCGACGAGCTGACTGGCCAGTCCGCTGCTGGCCACTGATAATACGGCATTTAAACGATGATGACCGGCTCCCACCTGGCATCCTGCCCCCTCTACTGACGGAGCCACGCCAATGCAATTTGCCAAATTAAGCCCAAGTATTTGCATAGACCATTTAAGTCATGGCGTTATATGGCAAGGGCTGATTAACTCGGTGGGTTTTATTTTCGTATGAATATCTGTAAAAGGTTATAAATTTCAGTTCGGATATGGTTCTGTTTAAGATTAAAATATCATTAGAAAATCCAATTCCAATATATAAAGTACATTTGCGGATCAGTAGCCGATGCGATTGAGCCACGTCCGCCTGTCCCTAAGAGCTTATTATAATCTTATTATAAGAGCTTGAAGATTGGGATTAAGCATGCATTTTTGATAGAAAAGCCTTTGGATGAGCAGGAAATAGTGATGTGATCGGTGTTGATAGTGGCTTAGGTACGATGGACGGAGTACGACGACGGTTGCAAACCTTCATGATTCTACTCCCAAAGTTGCCAAGTTGTGGTGGCGATGGTAGAGCTCCTTCCTCCACATTCAGTTCGACTTCATCACCAAATCATTTTATTATTTTTGGAGCTCCAATAAGAGGTGGCTGTGTTGGGAGTTGGCTAATCTGTTGCATAGGAGTCAGCATGACAGCATCTATAATAGGGACAATGATCCCTTTTTAAAACTTTCCAAGCATTTCAGGCGGAAAGATTTGATTGAGAGGAACTGTAAAACAAAGATTTTAGTTTCTCCACAGTAACAGTAACCAACTATCACTCACCTAGTCGGGAAGTATCTATCTCAATTTTAAAGTCCGTTAACTTAAATAAATCTACCTCCTCCTCCTCGTCCGATTCTGCATCATCCACCTTTTGCCCGCCCTTGTCGAGATCTTTAAGAACTTCAGTGGGAGCAGTGGGAGCGGTGGAAGCACGCTCCGCCGAATCCCTATTTTCCACGCGGCTGTGACTGACAACGGCGCTTTTCTTATACTTCCGTCTCATATACTGCTCCAGGTCGAGTCCCCCCGACTTGGCGGCTCGTTCCGCGAAGGATCTTTTGCTGCCGGAAGGCAGAATCGAGCTGGGTCTGTAAATGGTGGGCACGTGGGCAACGTGCGGCAAACTGATCACGTGGGGCCGATGCTCACTTGCAGCCTTGTCCTTCGTTTTGCGCCGTTCGTCAATCTGCTTGATTTGTTTCTCCAACTCCTGTACCTTCTCTAGATCATTCCTGTCCACAGCCATATCCCGCTCCATCAATAGAACCACCTTCCTGTGCGCGGCTCTATGCATCTGGCCAGCCTCCCTCTTTCTTTGAATCAGCTTCTCCACATCATCTTCGGTGAAGGAGTACTCGGAGGCGTTCTGTATTTCTAACTGCTTACTGGCGATCTCGGCGAGAGTTGGAAGGCCTTTATCAACGAGCTTATTGATTGCCATCCATACTGCGAACTCCTTTTCTGTGATCGGCTGATTGGAAACCACATCCATCTGGAAATAACGCCTTTCGGAGGCATGCTTCAGAGCTAGGATCAGATTGGTACGCCTCTTGCCCAGCTGGTAGTCCCTCGAATCCTTGTGAAGACCAACAACCTGGTGAATACTATACGAAGGACCAGCAGTCACTCGGACAAAGGCACCGACCACAGTCTTCTCAAAAATTGGTTTATCCAGAAAATCTTCCAGCATGCTTCGTGTTAAGATGGCTCGGCTTAGATCTTCCCGCAAGGTCACTCGTGGTTCAACTTCAGGTGGCTTCTCCGGCTCCGCTGTGGCCCCACTCTCCTCCTCACTGCTACTTGAAGAGTCGTCGGAGTAGATCTCTGCTGCCCTCAGCTTCACCTTGTTAAGCTTCAGTGGCTCTTTGCCCTTATTCTGCTTAACGTACTCCTCGGCCCCCTTACTGTTATTGGCCAGCTTGTTATTCCGCCTGGCCATCAAGCGGCCGAAGGCATGGGCTTTCTTGTCACCAGCTCGCTGATGATCCAGGTTCTGTCGCCTGGCCTGTGAGCGTTTCTTCACGCTGGGATCTTCTTCTATTTGGGGTAGCTTTTCGTTCTTGGCTAGTTTACAGCGGATGTTGAACTTGCGCCGGAGGTCCTCCCTGCGCACAGATCGCTCATAAAGAATAAGCTCCCGCTCGAATTCATTCATACTTTCCAGTCGTGCGCGGTCCTCGTCGTCGCCAACGAAATGCTCATCGTAGCCATCATCGAAATGCTCGTCTTTCTGGTTGCCGAAACACAGCGAGTTTTTCCACTTTTCTGGTAAACCGACATTTTCTAGATTTGTAGGACAAAAAACACAAAAAATTCGATTTTTTTTTAATTTTTACAGGGAGCGTGCGATGTGCTCTGTAGCTCAGCTTAGCTGCGAATAAGCCTGGTGGTCTTAAATACATATCGTCTAGTTCAGTTTTTTTCTGTAACACGAAAGCATAAGTCCACTAGACTACAAAAGTTCGGTCGGTTTTTCCAATACTATTTAAACAAAAGGACGGTAGATTACAAACACACTAGTACTAGGTATACATTTACACTATGAAGTATATAAATTTGTTTAAAAAAACCAGAAGAAACGCTATAGTCGAGTGCCGCGACTATAAGATACCCGTTACTTTTTTACACAATTTAAAAATATTCATTTTGCTAGTGGAGATTCACAAAGCGCCACCTATTGTCAGAGAAAGAATGTTGAGTAACTGATAGTGACCATGAGAGGCCTTATAACGTACATTTCTTAATAAATAGCGAAATAATGTTTCGATTTGAAAAATCTTTAGACATACACTATAACGCGGTTTGCGTTGTAGTGGGCGTGGCAAATGATGATGAAATAAACCTACGCTACGTACGGACCTCCTACGGACCTCCTTTATAGGGTCGGAAAAGCTTCCTTCTACCTGTTACATACTTTTCAAAGAATCTATCCATTTACTCTACGAGTAACGGGTATAAAAATAATGTATAAAGGTAGGGAATGATTATGTCTAAGCATCCATTAGGAATTGACAGTCAACACAGACAGACTGTATATATTATATCCTCTTTTGTTGAAGAAGGAGAAGTGAACATAGTTATAAAGCTTCTATATTTTTCATTTTTGAATTATCAATTTTAAATTAACAACAAAGAGGAACACCACACTTGAATGCCGGAGCTATTCTTGCTGCGCAGTCATCTCTACAATCTGAACTTTCAAATTTGAGTCTCTTATAGTTTCACAGATCTGAGCGATATAATTAACTCGGCTCTTGACCCCGCTGAAAATATATTGCTAATACCAAAAACAATACACCATTTCACTCTACCAGTAAGGAATGTAATTAGACAGATATTGGTTACTGATATTATATTTCTATTCCAGAAGCTATTCTTATAGAAAATACCTACTACACATCTAGGCTTATTGTTTTTAATCAAGAATTTTCTCAAGAAATGAATAAATTTCTATGGTTGGGAAATCTGAATAAGCATCTCGGGTACGGGGGCAAGAAGGAGGCATCTCTGCTGAGGCCAAGTGAGAGGATATGGTTGAATGGAGCTCGGCAAAGGGTGCAGAAATCCGACAAGAGATTGCCACTTCCCAAGCCGAGGAGAAGCAAGAAGTTCTATGGATATAGCATTGTGCTGGGAAGTCTCTTCAGCACCGTTTTGTGGGCCATCTACGAACTGGGTAAGCCGGAGGTGGATCACAGAGGACCCATTGAGGACGAGTTCAGCCACCTGCCCTGGTTCCGTCAGTACTTGATGAGGATGTGGCACTCGCTGCAGTACTACCAGAAAATGATGGAGGAACCGCAGATGGTGAAGTTGCTGCCGGACGTTCTGCCTCCTCCCTATATACAGCCTCCCTACTCGCTGGTCCTGGAGATCAAAGATGTGCTGGTTCATCCCGACTGGACTTATCAGACAGGGTGGCGGTTTAAGAAGCGTCCTGGCGTGGATTACTTCCTTCAGCAGTGCAGTCGAAACTTTGAGATCGTCATCTACACCGCAGAACAGGGAATGACCGCTTTTCCCCTCCTGGATGCCCTGGATCCCTATGGATACATCAGTTATCGTCTGGTAAGAGGAGCAACTGACCTGGTGGAGGGGCAGCATACCAAAAATCTGGACTACCTTAATCGGGATCTTAGTCGTGTGATCGTGGTGGACTGCGACCCGAATACCACGCCCCTGCATCCCGATAACAGCTTGGTGATGACGAAGTGGCTTGGCAACGATGACGACGTTCAGCTCTTCGACCTCACAGCCTTTCTCCAGTTGGTGGCCGAGCACCAGGTGAGCGATGTGAGGGAAGTGCTGCGATACTACCGCCAGTTCGAGGATCCCATCGAGCAGTTCAAGGACAACCAGCGGCGACTCCAGGAGCAGAACCAGGAGAATGTTAGGGTTTCCGCCAACGGGGAACGGCAGTGGAACCTCACTCTAATGGGGCGATCCTTTCGGAGTTCATAGTTCTGTGCTTTAAGGACAAAATTACATAAATTATTTCACTTTTGTTGAGTAAAATTCCACTTCTACTAAATAAATAGAAAAATAAAACCGAAATTAAAGTTTTAAAATTTAGAATATATTTTTATAAATCTTTTTTCTAACTTAACTGTATTCTGTCTCTCAAAAAAATGTAAACTATTGTTTAAAAGTTATGGTTTAGTTGAGATCATCCCTTTACAAGTTACGTTTAGTATTTGTGTGAAGAATATATTTGTCGGAAAACAATTTATGAAAACGTGTTGGGTGTCAGAGTGTTGTTTTGGCTATACTTTATGTTAAGGAGTAAGTTTTGTTAGCTAGAAACTGAGCCTTAAGCTGACTAGTGATGTTGAATGAAATCCAGTAATACGCCTTTCGGGTATGCAACATATTTTATAACAAGGCAGTTTAAGTTAATTTAAGTTTAAGTTAAGTTAAGTTTAAGTTAAACACATTTTATTACATGATTAGTGCACTGCTCCTCATGTAACAGGTTTTATTTTCTTTAACATTAGATCCTTTTATAAGATTAATATTAAACATAAATAATGATGAATTTTTGGGGCTAAGACAAGACCAGTCCGGTAGACCCTTGTTCTGGGGTCTGCAATGTTGAGAGCAGCAGTTCCCAGTTTCTCGGCATAGTATATAGAGCCTATTCTATCCTATGCCTCTCTTAGAGATGTCCTGTAGCCTATCACCAAGATCTCGCTATCCCTGTTTTGTGGTACAAGAAGACTTGACTTCCCGGCAATCTTGGTCCTGAAGGACTGATGTACGCACGTTTAATGCGTGCTGAGGGTAAGACATCTATCTAGGGTAACCCCAAAGTATTTATTTGACAGATGGTGCCTGATAGGATTTACATTTAGCCATTCCAATTACCTGACCATTGTTGAAACTTTTACATTTACATCTAGTCCCTACAGCAATCAGGACCTCTTTTTATGTCTGAAGCAAAGATGGAATACATGGTTGGGCAAAGGACACTGGCCTGGGGGAATCCATTGAACCGCTAAGACGTATAACTCGTCAGCTTATTGAATGCTCTCTTTCAAAATCGAAGCAGGAGATGTAAAAACTTGTTAAGTGCACGTAATTAAAAACACTTAACAAACTCCGATAAAATAATTATTATCGAAAGGCGTGCCTGTCATGTAGCCTGGGTTTTTATGGAGCTGGAAAACCATATTAGACACCGATGGCACACATGGATGGTCATGCGATCGCACAGCAGCTGCCCGTCCCACCAGTTTGGAGGACACTTTGCGATGCAAAAGGGCGAAAATTTATGCGCACCGAGCTTGGTGGATAATACGAGGAGGAACGAGGTTGAGGAGGAGGAGCCGGGACATCCGTTGGGAGTGAGCACCACTTTCGTGCTTGACCTCACTCACAGCGGCCTGCTTAGCCTCTTGACCACCGCTAACTTGCCCAGGATGGGTGCCTCTTTGGTGGTGCGTTGCTTTTTTATGGGATCTCCGCCACCTCCTCTTGCAATGAAAGCATTTCCGCATCCGGCAGCGGGGCTTCCCAGGCTGCCCAGCACCAACGCCAAAGCCAAGGAGCAGCATGGAGTCCACTTTAATTTTTGTTTTGTTTATAATTTACGCGACACAACATCAATTAAGTGCTTGGCCGGAAAAGCGCATACCTGCAGCTGAAAAAAGCAGTCATAAATTCTCGCCCTAAAGTGTTGGCGAGTGTCGGTGCGACCTCCATCCTCCAATCCAAACAGCACTGTACATCCGCCACTCCCCGGAGGAGCGGAGGATCCGGATCCGAAAAGGACCAGCGGTCAGGGGGAGTGCTTCTCGAGCAGACCAGCTGCAATGTGCTGGGGCATAAATAGCCAACGCCATTTCGGTATGCGTACTTTTTTATGTATCACACAAATCATTTTATTGAATACACACAGTATGCAGTGGTTGCAACTTATTTAAGCCCGCCAAAATAGTTAACAGCAGTGTCGGAGGAGGAGATTCTATAATATTAAACTGTTAACAGTGTTTATATTTCAGTTAAAAAGACAAACATTGCACATGACAATACAATCTTTTATTAATGTAATCATAAGTAGCTAGTGTGCTAACAGAAAAACACCTTAAGAGTTCTAAAAATTCAAATAATTGGACAATTGATATTAAAAACTTATCTTCAAAATCTCATTTTTCGTGCGCTTCTCTCGAGTGTCAAAGTACATATGTATATAGAAAATAGGCTTAGGCACGTTGTTACTGTTATCGATTCTGTAACTTCGGCGTTGCCAGATGCCGCGGGAGCAGTTTACCGTATATCGCAACATGTATGTATGTTTTTTAGAAATTCAGCTGATAGAAAAACAACGTAAAGTAGTAATTATAACGAAGAGAAAATGTCTACTAAAAAGCACCATTTTGGTAGTACTTTATACATATGTTCTTGGTGTATAGAATAATACCTTTTAGTAGCATTAAGTACTTTAAAGAAAGAAGTTCAAGTAGTTAGAAAAAAATAACATTTCACCTCCAGTAATGCGAATAACTTGATCAGAACTCATCGAAAGTCAAACTGATATCGCTATACATATATGTATACTAATATCCTCGCCGAAATAAGGGGAACTAATCAAGTCAGAAAATCGGTAAACTTTTCTTTAGTATGATTAAGGACTTCTATACTTTTAGGATATATATTGCTGCGAAAATATCCTATAAATCGCAGGAGAATAGCCCACAACCCCTGTTTCAAAATCAATTTTAAATATTCGAATCGCAAAGTGGCAAAAAATGGATGCAGGACATCCGGACAGGCATACAAGCATACAGACGAAGCTGCCTAATTGGAATTAACAAAAACAATTTATGGCCTAAGTTGGTGTGATTTGTTGGAGTGACATTACGATGCGGTAAAGGAGCAAGGACGAGCATCGGGGCCCCGGCAACTCCGTTGGCGAACGAAGCCGCAGTGGGGACAAGATGGAAAGGGCTTCGGGGTGTGCGATGGCACTTGCAGACGCAATTTGTTACAGCAAAAGAGGTCCAAAGAGTCATTAAACGGCAGTATAAACAAAAGTCCAGACGCAACCCTTTGGCAGTTGGGGGTAAGGCTAAGAAAGTGTCAACTGTTTTGAAAATTACAGCTCACTTAAAGTTAATTTAGATCTTTCTTTCTATGATAGTCACTTATGATAACTATTTAGTTATTAACAATATAGGAACAGATGTTTCAGACTGAACAACCCAAACGAGCATGAGAACTTCTTAAGAAACAATGAAATTATTTAGAGGACTCCCCTTCTGATATACGAAAGTTAAGGAGACTTTCTTAATCGCATATTGCTGTGATCATCTCCTCCTTATCAGTTCAATTAGTAAGTAATTTAAGGCCGTGAAATAAATAAAAATTAATTCAACTCGGAGAGCAGTAAATTTATTTATTAGCCAGACTGCAAGTACTCCTCCGGCAGTCCCCTCGGGATGCGACATTCAAATAATGAAATGAATGTTTTGCTGCACTCATCCATTTATTCACGCACCATAAACTAGGGACGAGTTTATTCCAAGGGACACTCGAACGTGCAACAATAAAAATAATAAAATTAATGGGGGCGCCATAGAGGGATCGACTTTTATTCACATTCGCAGAAAGCAGACTGCCGGTGGAACAGGTACCAGAATTAAATATACATTCCATTCGAAATTGGTTCACATTTGCCAGTTAGGCCAGTTAGGGTGGCTCTTTGGGGCTGGAGAACTTGGAGTGCTTGGGGTGGACCGCGACCAAAATAATTTCAGCCATTTGCCAGATTTTGAATGCAGCTGGCCCAGCATAGATTTTGGCATTGCCAATGCATTGTAATTTACGCGACAATTGCAATAAACATTAGTTCATTTGTTACGCAATGTACTGCACCCGAGCACCCACTGCAATTTGCCTGCCCCCCACCCCACTGTAGACCCCCACCATCCCAGAGCAGCCACGTTGTTTGTGGGTTTGCGGCTGGCACATTAAATTAATTACTCATGTTATTATTTTGGCCGAAATGAAGTACGCAACAATTTATAATCGCGACTACACGAGATTAGAAGTACCTGCGGTGGCAGCCCCGCCCCCTGTTCGGTGCCCCGTTTTCGGGCTGCAACCATTTTGCTTTATTAGTCAAAATGCAGGCAAAATGTATTTCAAAATCAAAATTCTACAATTTTCCACGAATGCGTCTGTTTGCAATTAACGCTAATTTATGATCAACTAATTTCCAAAATGCACCCTCAAAGTGCAAATTTCTGGCGTTTTAAACCGGAATTGCTTTATGTAACTCTCTATGGGATATAGAGGATATGATGAGCAGTTTCAGTATTAGTTTAATGCTAGTAATTGATATCAAGATGAAAAGCTCAAAACGAGATTACATCTCTCCCTTGGGATAGTTAGAATGCAATCAGAGAATCCTCCTTATGCCTCCCTCTAATTACCACTTAAAACGAATGGATTTACTAAATAAGCCGTGATTAATCCACACATGGCCCAAGAAAGCTAACAACTGCATTACGTTTAAGCCGAGAGCCAGCTAAATTTGGCCTGAAATTTATGGCAATTGCTCAAGCAGAGCATTAATTCCATTTAAATGGCCGCCTTATGAATCAACAGGCGGTTGGGACAGGCAACACAATCACATCCTAATGCATCCGCCAATGCAGTGGGCCGCCGCCTATGCCCCCACTGCCCCGAAGTGCGGTGTCCAAGGAAGGATGGCCGACTACCCGGATGTGTGGCAAGTCCCAGTTTCCCCCCAAACATGCCTCATCTCCGCACCGAATGCCTTACTGTTTTCGGCCTAATGTATGATTATGTTCAAAACACAAAGCATACGCCAAGGCGACAAGGACAACAGCCGCCGGAGGTGAAGAGGTAGGAGATCCGACTCCGATTGGGATTGGTCAACGAGGCGAGGCGAGGCAGGGCGATGCTTGGCGCCACCGCCCCATTTATTTGCATCGCAAAATTTGCACATGTTCAAATCGAGATTTACGACGCCGAGTGACATCATTAATCAAGCGCCTGATTGGTGATCCTGTTC